TAAAGAACATATGAAGATTAGCGACGATTTTATATATAATATTACGTATTCTATACTGCATTAGTCGATGCAGTTTGTCGTTCTATTTTGCTTAAACATCTTTTTCAAGGATAAATACCTTTTTTAAAATAAAATATGCACAGAATAATAAGACCAATTCAGCCATATATTTCATGTGTGTCTTTCGAAGTAATCAAAACAGTATTTTACAATTAATATTTAATATATGATACTAGTAATAAATATACAATTAATATTCACAATTAATATTAATATCGAATTAATATTTAAATTACATTTAATATTAAATTTGTATTTCAATTTTCATATTTAAGGAAACTTATTACTTTAGTCGTTTTACTTCACAAATTCTTTAATAAAATATCATATGAAACAATTTACTTGATTTTTATTACACTTTATTATTTTGTAGAAAAGAAGATCTCGTTTCTACAAGTAGATAAATATACCAGTGACTCTTTGCAACATTAAAATTAAAGTAGCTTTTAAATTAATGATTTTTCGATATACGAAGGTTAAAACGTTTTTCATTATTAGAGAACAACGAGCTGCGAATAATATTAACAAATATACGTTTCTATGGAAATAAACATCGGTAATCTTCAAATGTTCTCTATGCTCACCTACAAGAAAAACTAATTATATCAGTTTATATCGTTCTACAAACCATGTAATTTTATGTTAAACATTTCTTCATATAGCAAAAAGTTTACGAGTAATTTGTAATATTAGAGTGAAATGGAACATCTCTTTACCATTGTACATTGCTACTAAGATACGTGTACTTTTATACTAAAAATTAGAAATATTACTAATATCAAAGTGACAATACTGCTAATTATTATTAATGCCTATGACTATATTATTAACCTTTTGCAGTCGAGAGGTGATATTCAGTCACCATTTCATAAAATTTGGAAGATCGATATTAATTAATATATCAAATTGAATGTAATGTAACAGTGCGCGAGGTATCGAAATCAAATAATTCTACAATTCTATTATTATACAATTCTTTATTTACTGCTGTATCATCAGTTTTTTAATAGAGAATCTTTGAATTTCTACTCTTCTTTAGCCAAAAAATTCTCGAGTGCAAAGGGTTAACTGAGAAAATAGAATGGATATAAATAACACATTATATCTGCGAAAAAAAAGAAGTGTTTGATTCTCTGTTCATTTGTGTATCTTTTACCATTTAAAAATACTTATAAATATTTATTTAACATAAATATTTCTTTAATATCATACGCTATACCACACAATTACAATTATACATTTGTGTATATAAATATACCTATGTATATAATTTATAACGTAAAAATGAATAAACATTTGAAGTGTCTGTTAAATTCTTTGAAACAGTTTCAAAATAACTTATTTAAAGTATTCCAGAAAGTACGACGTGTGACATACAGCTACGTATTTCACAAAGAGAAAATCCTGTTGAACTTAATTTACGTAAAATAATTTAATATTTACTATATAATTTCTGTATGAAATATTTCATACATACTCTCCATAAATATCCTTTATAATAGCTTGTTTTATAAAAATAAAATTTTCTACTGTTACACAATTTGTTTCCCAAAATATATTAAAATAAATAAATATTGATGGAGAAATTTCTGAATATTATACACTACCATACAATTTTAAAGTCAGAAATTTAAAAATATGGTAGAACTTAGTACGAAATACATAAATTTCTCATTTCAACTAATTACTTTTCATTAGCACATTTTCACTTTTTGATATCTAGACTTAATTGACACCTTTCTTCATTAATAAATGGTATTGTTCTCAATTACTTCACATTGGAGTATGTCCAATGTCAAATTTAAACTGAAATGTATACATGCAAACGAGGTCCGGATAATGGAACATTCAGATAACAGAAAGTTCGGTTAGCGAAGTACTTACGTATTCGGGTAACGGGGGTTCAGATAAGAGAGATTTTACCGTGATATTTCAATGGAAATATGGTTTTATGCTATGAGAACGCATTAATTATCGCGTAAGAGATGTGTCTCTTCTCTTTTATGAGGAAAAAGGGAATGAGAGATAAGGAACGAGGAATTCTTCAGATGAAAGAAGAAAGCGTATTGCGATCTAGCATAAATTCTTCGGTGATGCTTCTTATTAATTCTGTGCTTCAGATCTAGGAACACTGATGGTCAGGTCGAAGGATGCACCATTTATGCGAATGAAATGATTAGACGAGAACTTTTGGCAGTTGCTATGTTGATGCAAATCCTTCTGCTTATGGATGTAAGCGATTCACTACAGTAATATTCCAGTCCGAATCACCTTGACATAACTTCCATTCTTGGGTTAACGTGTGGAATATCCTGCAAACTATGCGTTCCAAGTACGTTAACGTGTATTTAGCAAATAATCGTATCCAATGTGATGATCCCGGGACGAAGTAATGTTATAACGTACAATAACTAATGTCACAAAAATGAAGATTTGTGACTTGCTGTTGATCTACCATAGTTTGGTACATAATACAGTGCTATTAATTCCGTAGTCACTCACGAGAAACTTTTCAAACGACTTGAGCTTCAAATTATTAACAAATAATTAACAATTTAGATTCAAATACCCAAGAATAATATTGCATTTGGACTAACACGTCAGTATTGGAAAAACGTGAATAAAACTATAAATAAATTCGATCACAAATATGAGAACACTGAATATCGACTTTTAAGAAAATCAAAGAAAATTTTTGTATTCAAGAAAATAGGAGACATGGCGTTTATAGCAATTAATGAATAATTAATGACAAAGGGTAGAACATCGAAATAAATTGGTAACAATTGATGTATATGGAAATAATTTGCACTTTCGAATATTTATGTTACTTTCGTAAATATTCGATGAACTTTTCAATACTGCTTAAAATTTTTTCTAATTTTACCCACGTGATATAAACATTTAACTACAGCGCTATTTTCGATGTTTGAGTCCAACATTTCTATTTATGAAAAATCTGAAAACCTTTTTTTTATTTACGAATACTTTTGCAGGCGATTGTGCCTGTTGCGATTACCGTATAAAAACGTGTACTTTGTGCCACCTATTTTAAACATTTATTATGTTTTTATTTAATTTAAATAAATTCCTCCTTTATTTTAGAAAATCGTATCCATTTCAGTATTTTCTTCGTTAGAAGTTACAAATTTAAGTGCTGGAATAAATTCGTGAGGAACTGTATATAAGTAAACTAAATATGGTTTAAAATCCCTTTGACTGCAAGTTTTCAAAAATAGGAATTTCTTGTATTACCAGCATTCCTTTAAATATAAAATGCTGGCTAGCAATGAACTAATATTACGATATCAATATTAATAGCTAATTGTAATTTACGTTCTTATGTTCTTGACCAGTGAAATATGTCATCATGACAATCGTAGAATTTTTAATATTCAAGTTGAATTTAGTATATTTTTAATAAAATTTTAAAGGTCTTGACATATGTTCAATTGTACAAAATATAACTGTCGTCCCTTTAATTACCGCATATACATGTAAACTACAGTGCTTGTCATTCCTCTTGCTAGAGTAAGAAGAGGTAAATAAAAAATATATAAAAAATTTTTGTTTTTAATCTTCGAAATTGTACAACGTCGCAAACTTATCAGAATTTATCAAAGTTTATCAAAACGTGCAAACACGTTCATGTAGAAATTTATGTGACACTTCGTGACTAGAAGTTAATGAGTTAATTTCATGAGTAACGTTAATCAACCTACTTACGCGGCAGGTAAGCTGAATACTTTTTGCTCTATTGACTACAGTTTCGTTTGCAATTCAAGTGATACGATATTTATAAATTATACGTTTACTGGTAAATGATAAGGAACTAAGTAGCCGTTTAAAAACTTATTTAAGTTTTTCATTTTCTGAGGTACATAAGCTCAAAGCAAAAATAGTACGAGAAGATAATATTTCATGTAATAATACATAAGTGTTTTTATAAATACCTTTATCTTTTGAAGAATTAATATTAACATTAATAGTGATATTGACGAATTAATATTGATCAAGGAACTAATATTGAATTAAAGGAATTAAATGAAATATTTATGACGAAAGTCAAGACCTACTATATAAAATAGAAAAATATATTTTAAGTAAGTTAAATATCTTTACAAATCAAAATATTTGTTTAAAAGTCAAAAAATTAATATAGTATTTCATGCAATGTCATCAACAATAAACCCTCTCTAATTGTTGAATTAAAAAAAGAAGAGGTCAAATTAATTAATTAGTTAACATTTCGTGTAAAATTAATTTTGACTATTCTTTAATATGCAAGTTATTATCATGTTGAACTAGTTATTGTATAGACATGTTTCCTTTTATAAATGGTGTCATATAGATTTGCATAGTTTGATAAGATATCGGTACATGCACTAATATTTAACCCAAATATTTTAAGCCTTATCTGATACTTTGTTATAAATATTATCATTGTATACGTTTATTTAGAAAATATGTAATATATAGACATACGTTTACTATAGAGTAATATAAAATAATTCATTTCTAATATACCTCTGAAGATAAATTACTAAAGTTTTGTACATATTTGTACTCAAAAATTTCTAAATAAGTATTTTGTTTTTCAATTCCTTCTCAGTAAAAGAATATTTCATAAATAAACTGTAGATTTAGCTGGTGTCAGAAAATAATATATATAACCTTGTATATTAGTAATTTCATTACTTCTTTCTTCAATTTCTGAAAATTTATATTAAAAGAATTAAACTTTTAATTGAATTGAATTAATTGAATTTTAAGGTTAAGAAAATGATGAAATAAGGGATTACGTAGGAATAATTGATAAATAGTGCTATTACTTCGTATAGTAGGGGTAAGGCGTTTAACAATATAATGATAGCACCGCGTACATATAATTGTATAAATATCGATCCTCGACTCATATTGAGCGTTTCGTTTAAGTACATGTGACTTCGTACACTAGTGAGCACTTGAATAGACTCGCCTGTTTTTCTCCAATACATTGTAGGTAGATATGTAAAAAATAATTATAAGTAATGCGAAAGAAAAATGCTTTTAATTTTTCATTTATCAAATATTTATTACACTCATAATTAGTGGTTGCGAAACGTTTATAGTAGGCGAAGTTATAATTAAAAGATGATAAGATCTATTTCGAATAGCTTCTCTTATGTGTACTTACATGTATATATGAATAACTTCCCTTTGACGTTCATTAAATGTACGCTTACATGTTTAAAATTTTATTGAGTAATATATAGTGTGTTTTTTGCTTCGTTTTTTATAACATCAGTTATTTTTGTACTATTTTTCATCAATGTAAATTTGTTTACGAAACTCGTTTTATATACATTATATAATATTTCGGAAGAAATTTAAAAAAGTTTATGTTAAACTAAAGTAAACAATAGAAAAAGCAATTCAAAATACAAAACTACAATTAATAACTATATTCTGGAATGTTTGTCATTTTCCTGTATTTAAAGACAAGAAATAAAATATGTTAAGAAAACTGCAAATATAAATGGAATGTGTTAAAAAATCGTGAAAAAGTAAATATATAAAGTGTCATACTTCCATTATTTATTTATTTTAAAATCAATCTTGGTTTTAGCATTATTTACTATAACATTAATTTTTAACATTGAAGTTGATTGAATATATTTATATAGTATAGCCATACAATAATTATTTTTCGTTTCTTAGTATATTGAAGAGTATGGAATATTGCGAGATTCCCCATTGGTATACTGAAAATTAGTTTTCCTCAACTTGTTTTAAAGTATATTTAGATACGTGTTTAAACCTTGTCTGCTTTTTATAACAATCAATTCAATAAATCTACAGTAGGAAATTGCACCATATACTATAACAAAACAAAGGTATGAATAATGAGAGATGTTTTATTCTATCTTCTGCAGATCGTATTAATAACGCACACACACGTACCGTTTGTGACAATTGATCCTTTTTCTTCATGCGAGGAGATTATTCCATATTCCTGATCAATCCATCTCACGAATATCTGTGTAATTCAATACAAGCTTCAATATTATGATTCTTCATTGTAAATGAAGAGTACCTTGCTGTTTCCTTTGTTTTATACATGGAATATATTTTATTCTTCGTATAATATTGAATGTCGATATTGCTGCTTCAACTTTTTGATTATATAATATCTTTGCAATAAATAATATTATAATTGTTATACATAATTAGTCTAATATATATTTATTCATAGTAGATCTTTTCGTTCTATATTATTACCTTTTCCATTCTGAAAGTTTATGGAAGCCATTTAATAGAATCTATTCGAGAAAGCCTAAAATAAACATTCTCACAATTTTCAGAGTATTTAAAAAAATGAATAATTATTGTACTATTCTATTTAAATGTTCTTTCTCTCCTTTACATATTTCTCACTTTTCTAAGCATATACACTTAGTGACATAGGTCAGAAATAAAGTAATGCTCGACGAATTTTTGTATATTCTGTATCTTCTGAGACACATAGATTGAAATTACTATTATTAGTATTATTGAAAAAATTATTATTCGTTAATTTAAAAGATGTCACTTTTAATTTCAATATATGTGTCTGGAAAGATAATTAATATGTGAAAGTTTACAAACGATTACTTCGATTTTCAACTTTCATCAGTATGCACATACATAAATTTTATGCCATTTTTGGTAATTTTTCCCATAAATGAACGAAATGTAAGAACGACTGATGTTCTTGATAACTATGCAATTAATGGTCGCAATTCAGAGAAAACTTCAAGTTTCATTAAAAAAGAAAAATTCTCCTTTCAACTTTTTTAGTTTCAAGAAGGTTTCTTTATTTTTATTGGAACTTTGAACGTACATTGTATTAGGTTAGGTTAAACAATTCTATTAGGTTAAAGAATTATATATGCACGATTTCTTTTCTTTTTTTTAAGAGCATTTAGGTAGAAAGGAGGAAGCAACACTCAATGTTTCAATGCTGTTTTCGTGTTTTTACATACAACCTTGTAATCATGCAAAATACAGCAAAACTATTACTCTAAAAAATATTTAAGCTTTAATCCTTTGTCACTCTATTCAGAAAGATTTTCGAGAAATAGTCAATTAAGAATTTAAAATACAGCTGAAGTTTTAAAAGCTGATTTCATTTTCTCAAGAAGAATTCTTATTCATTTTCATGTATAACCAATTGCAACCATTATAAACACAAACTGTCGTTAAAATCAGTACCTTTGGAATAGGTGAATTTCCTTCTAACATAGCAACCACAATCTTTCGCACACCACTGTATTGCGAGTGTTGTGTATAACTCCTTGTATAAATTTTACGAACCATTTGGACAAGTTGAGTCTGTAATGGTTATTTAACGGGCGAAGTTCGCGAAAACTCAAGACAGTGTTTCCCAGATGCGCCAAGCATTTAAACAACAGTTAAGTCGGGGTTACTATCACCATAGGCTTCTTCGATATTTGGCAAACATGACACCAATAGGGTCTGAGCAACAAGAGCTGTAACTACCCAAGCAGATAGGAAAATGGATAATGGTAATACGTATAAGTCATAATACATAAAACTTTAACGCGAAGTATAGGAAATGTATTTGGAATATAGGAAATGGAATACAATCCTTTTGATATTGACTATCAAACACGGAACAAATGTTTTTGATTTGAAAAGTTCGAACTAACGTTCAGAGTTTGAATATCCTTTTCCTTTGAAGACTTTTACTTTTTTATTTTCTTTGATATTCGATGACGGTATGCAATCCATATTAACACAATAAATGTAATAACAGTGCAAAGAATAACAGCAAAAAATTATGAAAATAACAACAATCAACAACAAAATAACAACACTAATATCAATCATAACAAATACAAAATTTATAATAATAGAACTGGAAATTTATAGTAATTGACAGTACTGCGTAATATAATACATTGAATAAGAAATTGAATCGTATAAAATAAAGATTTTTTATAGCTTTAGTTTGATGCTTTATTCAATAATCTAATGTTAAATGTTTATACAGCAGTGGAATGTATTGCAAAATGTTCAATACCACTGTTTGCATTATTTAAATCGTATCAACAAAAATTCTTCTGTAAGTTGTGTTAAAAATTTAATTTCATAATCATTTTGAACTTATTTTAATGTTCCCTATAATATAACGACGCAAAAAATATTTAACCGTCTTAAAAAGTACACGATGATCTTTATCTCGCTATGAAAATAGAATATTTTTGAAAATTTTTTTATCATCGCTCATCGTACTTTTAATACCGACCAATAATTGTCCAGAAGGTAAATTTATCGGTGAAAAATCGTGCGTCACATTATGTACACAGAATATAAATAAACATATACAATACATATAAAAATGTATGATTGTGTATATGAGTAAATTTTTTACTCTTTCGGTAAAACGTTATCGTATTTCTGACAAATATTCACATCAATATAAAAAAATGTTTATAATTAATAACGGAACAAGTATACAACAGTGCTCTTACATTTTAAATAAAAATCACAATCTGTCTATATTTGTTAACCATCGGCAATAACGAAAGTACAATTTATCTATCTTTATATTCAAATGATTGAACGAGAAAGAAATTCGTTGATAATTTAGAAATTTGTAGGAAAAAAGACCAAGATAGGCTTTCAGCGCGATACAGAGGGTACATAAAGTTGAGCCAGAAAGAGGAGGGACCGAGTTTATTAGCTAGAAGTTGTAGCGAGTTAAACTTGGCAAATGTAGATGATCGTGACCGATTATCTCGAGTTTAACGTTGGAATCCATCGAGAGTGAAAATTTGAAATAAAAGGTAGCACGCGGTCACGAAAGCCTAACAGCTTCGTTATGTTTGCACGTAAATAATAACAGGCAAGTAAAAGGAGATTCGAACGACCGTTCAATATTTTCACTGCTTCAAGTATTCATCCAGAAGTTAAATATTGACGTGCATCGAGTTAGCGCAATTTATGCTCCGATTCGTAATTCAAGAATTATTTAACCAATGCCCAAGCTTCGAGCATTTGGTGAAATAATTTGTAAGTTGCAACACGTTGTCGGGATATTTTTCAGAAGTTTTTCTTAATTGATGAAATATGAACCAGTTTCCTAAAAACTTTTGAACTCGAACAAAGTTGCTCGACTAGTCGTACGTAGCAAAATGTCCAAACGAGCTACCAAAAGTGTCAAGAAATAATTTTTGTAGATTATAGACCATGGAATATAAATTTCGCACATGTTTTCGGAGAAATAAAGAATATTATGTAAGTAATGCAAAAATATATATTATTTAATTATATTGATTTATATTATTTCAAAAATTCTTCAAATTTTACACAATTTTTATTCTTACTCTAATAATCTCACCAAATAATGTTAGAATATAAATTATAATTCGGAAAGAATACTAATATTAGGAATTAAATAAGTTTTAAGAATTTAAAAAGTAAATATTTCAATTAATCAATGACGTGGAATTTTTATAATTGAATTTATTGTTCAAGAACCAAATTCAGGTTTTAAGTTTATTTTTTGGCACTCTTTGAACATTAATAGAATTTCAAGATTTTGAGAAATAAAAGTAAATCCTGAAGTTATAAAGGCAGTAGAAGTCGGCAAATATAAATCACAGACTTTAATGAAATTTACGTTTTATATAGCATTTGAAGAAATATATAACGCGTTCTTTTTACATCTACCGAAATTTGTACTAAAGGTATAAAAATAGTTCCGAAAGTAGGGAGTTAAAAGCATTTACGGGTAGATCCTACGTGAGATAGAAAAAGCAAGGCTTAGCAGACTCGTAATACGGACAGCAAAATAGTGGAAGCCAAGTTTAAAGCAATATTTATAGTAAAGAAATAAACGAAAGGAAGGTTAACGAAAATTTAAAAAAATTGTGATTTATGCACATTTGAATGTAGGAAAGCATATTTTAGAAATGACTAACGTAAGTTTAGAAATATATTTTAAAAGTAAT